TTAGTGAGAACAGTTAGAACCTACCTTTGCCTATGCACTTTTCTGCAGGAAACCCCTACCTCGTAATTCAAACGCCACTCTGTTCGCGGATGAGTGAATTGTTTGTGCATTCGTTTGTTGCATTTATTTGTCGCATAGCATAATCATACAACGTATATATAATATATATATATATATATATATATATATATATATATATATATATATATATATATATATATATATATATATATATATATATATATATATATAATAAAATCTCAAAAACATTCTTTCGCAATAAACACCCTTATCTCGATACACTTGCCTTTTAGCTAGCCTGGTTTCGAGGTTCTTTATAAGCTAAGTAGCCACGCAGTCCGACAGAAGAGATAAGGGACGCTAAAACCATTCATTCCCAATAAAACACTTTTATCTCGGACAGTCTGCCTTTTAGCTAGCCTGGTTTCAGGTTCTTTGTAAGCTAAGTAGCCACGCAATCCGACAGAAGAGATAAAAGGCTAAAATAAAAAATAAATCAAAATAAATGCCATAATGAAAGGAAATCGGGCCTTTTTTATTAATCATCGAATCCATCATATAGGTAGTTTTATTGTTTTTCAAAAATATATACATACAAAAATCATGTACCATATAGAAAATAAAACATGATAATATTTAGAAAAAACAAACACTTTCATGCATACGAAAGCATCATACTCATACCATGCATTTTCTGTCATTTCTAGAAAATGGAGGGATCAGGTAGTAAACAGTTGGGAAAAGTGGATATTCCCCGATACCGTGTTGAGATGTTGGAGCAGCTATGTGCGCTTATGCCATCAGAAGTTCGATCCGACTTCGAGAGATCTTATGGACAGATTTTGGACCTCTTGAAAATATTTGTTGACCATGCGTTCATCAGGGTCCTAATCCACTTTTGGAGCTCCAGATTACACTGCTTCGAGTTCCCTCAGTTTGATTTGGTTCCGACTTTGGAAGAGTACGAACTTATGATCAAATGGCCCAAGTCAGCTGGGGTATACATTAGCCAGGGGCCTACGTCTCAGTAAACAAGGTCGCTCACCTCATCCGATTACCACTTTCACAGTCTGCCCTGAAGGGAAAAGGGAGCATTCAGGGGTGGAAGATATCACTTTTAGAGGACCACTTATCCTCTCTGGCTGAAAAAGGAGATTGGCCCACTTTCAACAAGACTCTGGCATTAATTATGTTTGGGACCTTTCTATTCCCTTTCCATAATGACGTCGTAGATCACGCCGCAATGGATGCCTTCTTTGCTTGGGAGGCACATTTAAAAAGTCCCATGCCTGCTCTTCTTGCCGACACCTTGCTGTTGTAGACCCCTAATTTTGCCCGGTCTCTCAAATAAAAGCTAGGGAAACTTCACACGAAGATAAAGTTCGCCCAGCTTCTCAATAAAAACCAAGGAGACCTCCTACAACAACACGGAGTTCATACGACTTCTCGATAAAAGCTAAGGAGACCTCCTACAACGAAGATAAAGTTTGACCGGCATCTCAATAAGGGCTAAGAAGACTTCCTATAAGAAGATAAAGCTTCAACGGACATCCATCGGCATCAAACAACGTCTGAAAATAGCAAGGAAAGCTTCCCGGGGGTCCCAGAACACAAAAACAGGCCAGAACAAGTTGAGACGGCCGTCCCAAATGTGGGACGGCCGTCCCAAACAACCTAGGCGAAGTGAGACGCGCGTCCCAAGGCCAAAATTCAAGTGGGACGACCGTCCCAACTTCCAGACGGCCGTCCCAACTCCCTGAGACGCTCATCCCTGTTTTCTGAGTCCCGGACGGCCGTCCCGAGGTGCCAGGCTGTGAAAACTATAAATAGGAGGCTCATTTGCTCATTTTCCACACTCCAGACAACTCAGAGCACTTGTCTACTCTTCTCCCTCCTTCGAATGATCATTCTGATTGCCTTAAATAGGTAACAATCAGTTAAGGAATTATATTCCGGCATTCGATTCTTCTATAAAATTTTAGTCGAGTCGAGTCTGTATTCGTGAGGAGAGTCATTGTAGAGCGAGGGATTTCCGAAACGCGTCCTTATTGTAAAAGAGTCGCAATATAAAGCTTGCTACGGAGGTTCTTTTCAAATCTCTTCTCTTTTACTGCTTTATTTATTGCTTTATATATGAAATGTAAATAAAATCATGTAGATAACCATATTTAAATATTGTACGAATAAAATAGGGTAATAGCGTAATTTCTTGTATCTTCACTTAACGAATTAATCCGTCATAGGGAACCCAAAAGGGGCGTTGTGGGGTGCTAACACCTTCCCCACACGTAACTAACTCCCTTACCCAACTCTGGTTATAATGGCCAAGTTTGGTTTTTAATAAAATCAACGCCTTTTTATCCTTTTCCAATGTTTATGGTCAAAACATTGGTGGCGACTCCAAAAGAACCCTTTTCGAAAACCTTGCTTTTATTAGAGGATAGTTCAGTTGTTGAGCACCTCGGAAGCAAAGAACATATTTTAAACATAAAACGTGAGTCTAAACCATCTTTTTGCGACTGCTTGCATAAACGTTCAAGATGTCCCTGGACGTCGGAACGGACGGCGGCGACAGATGGCGACTCCACTGGGGAAGCTAGAGAGTTGATCCCATTTAGTGACGGATAAATTCAAACTAAGTAAAGATTTGAAATTACGCCTTTACCCTTTTCCGTATGTTTTATTGTATGGCTTTAATAATTGTTGTATGATTATTTTCTGCAAATTGTTTGAAATATAAATTGCACACAAAAAACCCTTGCACACAACAGTCCCTCTATACCCGGGGCAAGAGTGAATACCTATAGGGAGTGGGTGGCGAGATACGACCGGCTTGTTGGCACACGGGGCTACAACCGTTGCTCCGAAACCACCAACTCAAGGTGATAACTCTCTTCTTTTGGTCTGAGGATGTCGCCACGGAGTTCCGTGCATGACCCGAGGACTGAGAGATTGAGAGGTCCCTATAATGGGGGCACCTTGGGGACCTTTGGCCTTGGTGAGAACAATTTAGAACCACCTAAACCAAGCACGTTTCTGCAGGAAAACCCTACCTCGTGATTAAATAAGCATGGCTCTGCTCGTGGATGAATGAATGGTGTGTGCATTCGTTTGCTGCATTTGTATTGATGCATTAGCATAGGATAATCATACAACAAACAAAATAATGAAAAACCCTAAAAATCATAAAAGTGAAAAGTTAAGCCAACTTTATCTCGGACAGTCTTCAGTTAAGCTAGCCTGGTTTCAGGTTCTTTGTAAGCTAAGTAGCCACGTTGACCGACAGAAGAGATAAAGGGTCATAAAAAATATAAAAACGAATGAAAGCCATAAAAATGCCTTTTTTATAATAAAAAGATTCTTGGCAAAGTCGTATCATTCATACCACATCATCCAATAAGTGGTAAAACTAAGAGAGAAAAATAAATGCACTAAGAAAAGTATGCATGAACATCATTTTAATAAACCTCCAAAAAATAGGTCTTAGGAGCGTTTTTTGGGAAAATTACTGGGCCAAATCCGCTTTGGGAATTTATAACCTTGTTCTTCACCCTTTTCTCTTCGTTTTGACATGTTGTGCGTCCAAATCGGACAACCCAATCAAAAGTTATTCCACTTTCAATATCTACTGTCATAAAAAAATATTTTTGTAGTGCATGCATAAACACACTCATTCTAGGATGTATTACATATCCTTAGACCATAGCGAAAGAGACTCAAGTGCGTTTATCACCTTCCTAGAAGAGATAAGTGCGCTAAAGTATGTTGACAACCTTTTAAAAAAAAGGAACCATCACACCAAGGTGGGTATGGTACTCCCTAAAGCATAAGCTTTTACGGAAACACCAAAGCTATGGTCTAAGGCATATCTATCCCACACTGATCATTCATAATAAAAAGTTATAATAATAAAAATCTTTAAATCATTTAGAAAGTAGCTGGTCTTCTACTTGTTCTCACTCTCGCTCAAAAAGCCAAGAAGATGGAGCAATTAGAGGAACAAAACCGTATGCTCACCGCTGAGCTTAATGCCATAAAGGAACAGGTGCCGCAATTAAAGGAGTGGTTAGAGAAACAAAACCACAGACTCACCATTGAGCTCAACTACGTAAAAGAGCAGATAGCGTATTTAATGGAACTAATACGCCAACAATGCCTCCACAATGAGGTTTCCAAACAACAAATTTCTGCCCTAGAGGAGAAATTAAGGGCATTAGAGGGACACAACTTTGATGTAAAGGAGGTAATCAATGTACGCCTCGTCAAAATTACTCGATTCCCTCCCAAGTTTAAGAAATCCCATACATCATTCAAGAAGCCCTTTGGCAAGAAAAAGGAGGGAAGTGTAAATTCCATGAACTTTGCTACTCCTTCTTCCTTTTCACAACCATCTAGGAAGTCACGCAGACAAGAGAAGAAATTCACTCCCATTCCAACCTCCTATGGAAGTCTGCTACAAGATTTGATAAAGGACCATCTCCTAGCATATGTCCCTCCAAAGAAGTTGGATCCACCTTACCCAGAATGGTACAAACCTAATGAAAACTGCGATTACCATTCAGGCGCTCCTGGGCATTCTGTGGAGAATTGCATGGCCTTGAAGTATAAGGTCCAAGAATTGTTGAATGCCGGGTGGATTACTTTCAATGCTCCCGACCCTTAGGTGGATGACACGCCTCTGTCACAACCAGAATAGTGAACCTGGGTAGAGAAGGCCAGCTAACTAGGGCTCCCCATTTTGTGCATCTTTTGGTTTAAAAAAAAAATATACATAATAATAAAAAATCTTCCGATGCATCTCTTGCGGTCTCTGCCCGTGACCGCGAGATCTTTTGATTAAAAGGGCTCCGTACATATTTCTCTTTTGATCAATACAATGAGGCATTTTTCATAATATTCATATGCTTCTCATTATTTTCTCTCTCATTCCAAAATAAATAAATAAAATATAAACCCAAATAAGGACCATATAAACAGTCATGTCTGTGATTGAAAACTCTCTGCGGGATCTGAAAGCCGAAGGCGAATGGATTGAGTCAGACAGTGAGGAGGGGACCATTTCCCGGGACATGCAAAGACTGTTGGAAAAAGAAGCTTAATTGATACAGCCCCATAAGAAAGAAGTAAACATTAGCACCCAAATTGATAATGTCAGGGAAGGGGCAATAACACCTTTGCGCTTATTCATGCCTCGTCTTTTCCCTTATACATCGGATAAAGCTGTACTGTGGATATACACAGAAGAATTGTCTATCAATGAAGATATCTCCAATATAGTCGGCATTGGGGGCACAACGAGAAGCAAAAGAATTTATTAACCAAGGAGCTACAAGACAATGCTCCTAAAAACAAAGGAAAAATAAAGAAACCGAAAAGGAAAAGGAAAAAGAATCCAAGGGGAAGATTAAGTAGACCTTGGATTAACGATGCAAGGGCAGTTTCTTCAACGCTCCATCGAAAAATCAAATTCGTGGTAGGCTACAAGTTGACCATGGTTCTAGCTAAAGACTACACTCAAATCAGCGAGCCGTCCACCACATCTTAAATAGATGCGGCTGAAGAAGACATTTGAAAATATGGAAAAACTTCCTAGCAATTTAAAAGTGGCCCATATAATGAAGAGATATGGATATAGCCCACACAATGGCTTGGAAAGGAAGCTCAAGGAATAAGAGAGCCATCAGATTTAAGGATAATCCTTTAAAGTACGACCCTCCAAAAGATCAAGTCGTACAAAGAAAAGAGAAGTCTCCCCTCCATACCTTAAAGACGATATTCCGAAAAGGAGGGATATTAGCATCAAGGGTAGCATTAGTCATTAGATGTCCTTCTTCCGATTTTAAGGGATGTAAACCCAATGACTATTAGAGATCACTCCTCGGGGTGTGCCCGGCCCCCGAGCATCTCTAGGGCACGCATTTCCCTTTTGATTACAAAAGAATGTTATTCTTACTATCGGCTTCTTTTCTTGCTAAACATTTCTATACCCCATTAAATAACCAATGTTTAGACAAATGTTTTGTTCCAAAATGCGTCAAAATAATCAAAACACCATAGACAAAATGAAGCCAAAGTTAACATGATTGATTAGCTAGAGACACGAATAAGAAAATCGTGTTTTGACAATGTATAAAAAAAGAAATTATTATTAAAAGAAGCCCGTCAAGGTCAAAGGCCAAGACAAAAAGATAAAAGGGCAAAATCCTAGGCTGAAAACCCAAAAAGGCGAACTAGGAAAGTTAATCAGTCACAAATAGGCGCCAAAGTATTCATTTGAAGACGCCACCTCATTAAGAACAAAACGTTTGTCTAAACTAGCCTAAACACCGACCAACCTTGGCTAGCCATTCTTACAAAAACTATTATTTCAAAAAATCTCACTAAAACACAAGCCTTTGCAATAAATCCCTTTCTTTCTCTTCTCTTGACCATTTCACTATAAAGCATTCAAATAATAAAGGGGAATGTGGAAACATAGTGATCAATAGGAGGATTGAAATCCCTAAGGAAAGGAAGAGGGGCATTGATATGACAACTGCTCTATATTCAAAATGATTACTCTTCGGTTATAGAAAAGATCCGAGACGGCAAATCGGTACAGCTAATCATGTTGACAAAATCACATGATGATGGAAACAAAATTAACAGAAGCCGAACGGGTTCAAAGCCGATATGACCAGATGAACCTTATTGAAGAAAAATGGCTAAATATCTTGGACAAGCCTATCAAAGGAAAATAAAAAAAGGCTTATGAAAAAGGTCAACCCTCATATTTACCATAAGAAGGATTTAATGGTAAATAATGTGCTTCCGGCCCAGAAGAATAAAATTGGAAAATGGGCAGTGAACTACGAAGGACCCTTTGTGGTCAAATGAGCTTTCTCGAAAGGGGCTCTTATCCTCATCAATATGGATGGAAAAGAACTTCGACACCTAATCAACTCCGGTACGGTGAAGAAGTATTATGCTTGAAGACATTGCTCAAGACCCGTCAGGAATGAAAATCCGCAAAGGACATTCCTGGGCAAAAGATAGGGTCCATATTCCTCGCTAGGATACGTCCTAGGCAAAAAGAAGAGGTAAAAAAAAAGTAAATAAAAAAAAAACTAACTAAGAGCAATGGTTACTTTAGTCGAAAACCGAAAAGGCGGCTAAGGTAACATTCTTCCGTAAGCAAGCATCTGCATAGTCTTCACTCTGAGCTCGGGCATCTCAACTGAAGCAATTAGGAGAACCAGGGGGCAAATATCATGGACATGACTGTTTAAGCCTATACAGTGTAGCCAACCCCAGCCATCCATTCCTCTAAATACCTTTTGAAATCCTTCTATAAAAGAAATAAACTTTTGATCATTTATCAATAAAATTCCCTTTCATTTCTTTTCTCTTGACCAAATATTATGGAAATGCCTCTTTATTGATAAATCATAAATATGCGCAAAGACTTTTAATCAAAGATCAAGCATGCATCTAAAAAGAGGAAGCATAAAAATAATAAAGGAATAAAAGCCTGCTAGGATATTCTTAGGAAAAAACTACGGTAGCCTGCTAGATCGGAAACCCCAAAAGAACGATCTAGGCAAAAGATAAGGCAAAAGCCCCCTAAGATATTCTAGGCAGAAATTAAGGCAGCCCGCTAGATCGAAAACCCGCAAAGGGCAGTCTAGGCAAAAGATAGGGCTAAAACCAAGAGATGGATAAAAAGAGGAGCCCATCATCATGGTCATAAAGGAGGAGCCCATCGGCGTATTCATAAGAAGCCAACGGGAGAAGGCCATTTACTTTCTAAATGCATAAAAAATGAACAAACAAATAGATTGCATTTAGGACATCCACACACAAAGTAGTTGCATAATACGACTTTGTCAAAATCAAGAAAAAATAATTTTCTTCAAACAAGAATAATAAACATGCATATAAGGAGGATAGTCTCCATACTTGTGATTGGAAACAGGAGGCGCCAGAATCTAGTCTCCATATGAAAATCAAAATCGCGAAAGGCGAAATCAAAACCATTCCAGCAGAATAAAGAGCTTCAAGAAAACTAGCTCCAACCTTCTACACCAATAAAAGAAGGTACATCGAAAAAAAAGCCAACGGAAAGGCTCGATAATCCCCAAGCGGATCCTTGCCTAATCCAAAGGCAAAACAAAAATTACTCCACGACTCAGCATCATCATCACATGAGTCGTCAACCACAGTCATTTGAAGCCTCAATCAACATCCTTCCGTCTAAAAAGAAGGAAGCCATCAACGTAGAAAAGCCAACGGAAAGGCTTGATCATCCCCAAGAGGATCCTTGCCTACTCCATAGGCAAAACAAAAAGATTACCTCACGACTCAGCTTCATCGCCACATGAGTCATCAAGCACACACTCATGCAAGAGTCTCCGCTTCATTCTCCAAAGGAAAATAAGGACTACACAAGAGTCCATCAAAGAAAATACGGAGACAAATCCTCCATATCACCTGGAGGCAACAAAAAGAAAGAAAAGAAAAACTTTCATTCCCCAATAAAGGCCACAACGAAAAAGGCCAAATAAAAAAATCTCCAAGAAGAGTATATCAAGAAAAGTCTACAAAAAGACAAAAAGAGGAAAACAAAATTTTTTCCATCTTCCAGCTCAAATAAGAAACTTCACAAAGCCAGGAGCCAGGACTCCATCAAATTTGGATCCCCAGGAAACCGACAGACTCCTCGGTGAATCCCAAAAAGAGAAAAGAAGAAAATCTCTTCATTACGCTCAATAAAGAGTTTAACAAAAGTCAGGAGCCAAGACTCCATCATAAAAAATCAAATCAAAGATTAGATCCCCAAGAGAAAAATTCCCCAGGGATCACTAAAAAGAAAAGAAAAAAAAAATATCTTTTCATCCAAAGAAAAAGCCAATGTCCATAAAAGGCGCACATATAAACACATTCCCCAGCAGGAATAAGAGCATAGGAAAAGTCAGCTCAAAACAAAGAAGTCAAAAACTTCATCCCTCCCTAGGGGGCAATTCAAAATAGATCCCCAGAAAACAACCAAATCCCTGGTGGATCACCAAAAAGAAAAATCCCCAGCGAGCCTACCAGCAGAGGCAAAACTACAAATCCATATCCTCAGGGAGTTAATCACCTATAACCCCAATATGGATATCCCCAGCGAAGTGCCAAGCCTTCACTCCCAAGAAGAGCCTCTGCCTAAGGCAAGCAAAAAACTGAAATCCCCAAGAAATGGGAAATCAACCTATAAGAGGTAATACAAGCACAAAGCTTTCAAAAAGCATCCACCTACTCAGAGGTATTATCAAGAACAAATATCCTCAAGAAGAACATCAGCCTATTCAGGGGCGAAAAACAACAAGCAAAAAGCCTTCACCACTATTGAAACATATGCCTAACCAAGAGGCACAATCAAAAATCAACAAATTCCCAATGGATTCCTTCCTAAAAAGAGGCAATCAACAGGAATCCCCGGCCAAGACCGGATGGCTAAAAAGCCAAGAACAAGGAATCCCCGGCCAATACCGGATGGCTAAAAAGCCAAGAACAAAGAATCCCCGGCCAAGACCGGATGGCTAAAAAGCCAAGAACAAGGAATCCCCGACCAATACCGGATGGCTAAAAAGCCAAGAACAAAGAATCCCCGGCCAAGACCGGATGGATAAAAAGCCAAGAACAAAAAATCCCCGGCCAAGACCGGATGGCTAAAAAGCCAAAACAGTGAATCCCTGGCCAAGACGGATGGCTAGACAAGAAAAGCCAATCAACAAGAGTCTCCGACCAAGACCGGATGGCTAAACAAGAAAAGCCAAAAACAAAGTATCCCCGGTAAAACCGGATGGCTAAACAAGAAAAGCCAAAAACAACGAAATCCCCGGTAAAACCGGATGACTAAAAAGAAAAGTCAATCATTCCCCATGGAATAGTCGCATGATCAAAGACAATAAGCCGCCAACATTTCTCCAAAAAATCCGATAAGGATTTTTTGAGAACATATCAAAAAGCCCTATAGAATAGGGTTCACACCAGAGTCTGTCAAGATGCAGGTTTGCACCCAGTGGGGGTGTAAAAACCACTAGAGCCTTGTCAAGATGCAGGTTCGCACCCAGTGGGGGTGTGTAGACCCCTAATTTTGCCCGGCCTCTCAAAATAAAAGATAGAGGAACTTCGCCCGAAGATGGAGTTCATCTGGTTTCCCAAAAATTGAGGAAACCTCCCGCAACAACATGGAATTCGCTTATATAAAGACTAAAGAAGACCTCTCATAATAAGACGGAATTCAATCATCCACACAAAGGAGACTTCCTACACGAAGATAAAGCTTCAACGGACACATATCTTGGGACGTCCCGAAGTTGGGACGGCCGTCCCAAGTCCCAGTTCAAGTGGGACGGCCGTCCCGGGTCCCCAGGGGGTCCCAGCCTGTGTAATTTTGCCATTTGGGACGGCCGTCCCAGTCCAGACGGCCGTCCCAGTCCAGACGGTGGTCCCGAAGTGCGCTTGCTACGAAAACTATAAATAGGAGGCTCATTTGTCACTTTTTCACACCCCAGACACTCC